GGGCACTATCACATCTTCTTGTTTTATTTATTTTTTAAAGTTTTTCCTCCTGGGGTAACTGAGTGGCTCAGTCGTTTAAGCGTCTGCCTTCAGCTCAGATCATGATGCCAGGGTCTTGGGATGGAGCCTCACATCTCCTGCTCAGCAGAGAGCCTGCTTCTCCCTCTCCCTCTGCTGTTCCCCCTACTTGTGTGCGTGCTCTGTCAAATAAATAAAAAAAGCTTTAAAAAGAAGTTTTTCCTCCTGATGTGTTTTCCTGCTTATGAGGTGTCTTTTTTTTCTTCTTCTTCTTTTGAGTTGTCTGTCTTCTCCTCACTATATTTGAGCAAGGATCTTGAGTGCAGGACCCCTTGTCTTTCATTTATGGCAAAGTATCCAGCACCCAGAACAGCGCTTGGAACAAAGCAGGGACCTAAGAGAAAGAATGAATTCCCAGTTCCATGCTCACATCTCCATGAGTCACCAAGATGTCCTTCAACATGTTTGGAGGCTCAAGCACATAATGCCAACAGCCTTAAGAACTCTGGAGTTGCCACATTCCAGGATGGCAAAATCGGAAAAGTCCTGATCGCTCGACCACCAATTAATTTTTCCAAACTTCAACTGTATTCATTTCTTTCTGCTGTTACAACACATTACTTCAAACTAAGAGGCTTAAAACAGCACAAACTTCTTATCTTATAGTTCTGGAGGTTAGAAGTCTGAAACAACCTTCATTGTGCTAAAATAAAGACAACAGGGGTGCCTGAGTGGCTCAAGATGCCTGTGTGTCTGCCTTCAGCTCTGGTTGTGATCTCCAGGTCCTCGGATTAAGCATGGAGTCTGCTTCTCCCTCTCCCTCTGCCTGCCTCTCCCTCTGCTTGTTCTCACTCGGTCTCTCTCTCAAGTGAATACACAAAATCGTAAAAACAAAACAAAACAAAAAAGCAATACAATACAATAAAGAGGTCCGCAGGGCTGGGTTCACTGAGGAGGCTCTAAGGAAAAACTATTCCCTTGTTTTTTCCAGTTTCCAGAGGCTGCACTCCGTGGCTCCGACCCTTTCCTCCTCCTTCAAATCCAGCAGTGTAGCATCTACAGATGTCTCGGACTCATGACTCTCCTCTAAGGACTCTTGTGATTACACTGGGCTACCTGGATAATTCAGGAGAAGCTCGCATCTCAGGGCCCTTAACGTCATCAAATCTGTGAAGTCCCTTTTGCCAAGTAAAATAAATAGTCACGGGTTCTGGGGATTAAGTAATGGATGCATTTGGGAAACATTTATGCTGCCAGACAAGGACATCAAAAGGAAACTAGACTGTATCTTTTTTTTTTTTTTTTAAGATTTTATTTATTTGAGACAACGCCCATACATGAGTAGGGGAGAGGGGCAAAGGGAGAGGGTGAAGCAGACTCCCCACCAAGCAGGGAGCCCGGTGCCAGGCTTGATCCCAGAACCCTGAGACCATAACCTGAGCTGAGGGCAGACATTTAACTCACTGAGCCACCCAGGTGCCCCTGTATCTTCTTTTATTTTTTTTTTAAGATTTTACTTATTTATTTGACACAGAGAGAGAGAGCACACAAGCAGGGGAAGCAGCAGGCAGAGGGAGAAGCAGACTCCCTGCTGAGCAGGGAGCCTGATGTGGGGCTCAATTCCAGGACACTGGGATCATGACCTGAGCTGAAGGCAGATGCTTAACAGACTGAGCCACCCAGGCTTCCCCAGACTTATCTTTTATGTACAGACACAAAATTTCTCAACTAGCAAACCAAATCCACTGACATATGAGAAGGACTATACACTGTGACAAAACAGGATTTACCCCAGGAATGCAAGGTTGGTTTAACATTCAAAACCAATCCATCTAATATACTAATGAAAGGAAAGGAAAAAAAGCCCACATGATCATCTCACAGACACACACAAAAAAATCTGACAATATCCAATGCTTTTTCACGATAAAAATACTCAAACTAGGAATAGAGGGAAACTTTTCCAGCCTGATTAAAGGTATCAATGAAACCCTCACAGCTAACATTATCATACCTAATCTTAATGGTGAAAGACTGAATACTTTATCTTTAAGATCAGAAACAAGGCCAGGATGGCTGCTCTCACCAATTCTACTCAACACTATGCTGAAGTTCTACTCAGGACAATCAGGCAAGAAAAATAAAAGGCATTATTCAGAATAAAAAGCAAGAAAGCTATCTGTATTTTCAAAGTACATGATTGTATACAGAAAAATCTAAAGGATGCACTAAGAAATTATTAACCAATAAACAAGTTCAGCGAGACTGTAGGTTATAATATCAATAGACAAAAATCAACTACATTTCTATACACTAGCAATGAACAATCTGAAAATGAAATTAAGAAAACAATATAATTTGCAAAAGCATCAAAAAGAATTAAAATACTTAGAAATAAATTTCACAAAAGTACAAGGTTTGTACACTGAAAACTACAAATCATTCTTAGAAGAAATTTTAAGATGACCTAAAGGAAAGGAAGAGAATTAACAGTCCAGAAGTAATTCTTTATAATTATGATAGATTTTCAAAAAGTATGCCCAAGAAAATTCAATGTGGAAAGAACAGTCTTTTCAACAAATGGTGTGGGACAGCTAGATTGATGTCCACATGTGAAAAATGAAGCTGGATCCCTCCCTTACAGCATACAAAAAAATGTCCTCTGGAACCATACACTTCAGTGTAAGGGCTTAAATTATAAACTCCTAGAGGAAATCGTAGAGGTTAATTTTTTGTGACCTTGAGTTAGGCAAAGCCTTCGTAGATATGATACCAGAAGCATAAGCAGTAAAGGAAGTAACAGGCAAACTTGACATCATCAAAATTAAAAATTTTTGTGCTTCAAAGAGTATAATCAATAAAATGGTATGATAACCTTATAATGGGAGAAAGCCATGTATCTGATAGGGAACTTGAATCCAGGATACACAAAGAACACTTAAGGTTAAACAATTTAAAAAAAAATTTAAAAATAAGCAAGGCATCTGAATAGACATTTCTTCAAAGACACATAAATGGCCAAAACCACCTTAAAATGCTCACGATCATTAGCCATTAGGGAAATGCAAGACAAAACCACAAAGACTTATCATTTCATACCCACTAGGGCGGCAACAATCCAAAAGTCAGAGAAGAGCCAGCGCTGGCAAGAGTGTGGAGAAACTGTGACCCTCAGTACTGGCGGTGAGGACGTGTAACACAGCGGCCGCTGCGGACACAGCACGGCAACTCTTCAAAATGTTAAACGGAGTCATCACTGTAAGCAAGCGACTGTGCTCTTAAACCCATACCCGAGGAAAATGGAAACATAAGCCTACCAGAAACTGCTGCTCACAGCAGCATTAGTCATAACAGTCAAGAAGTGAAAACAGGCCAAATGCCCATCAACTGCTGAATGGAGAAATACAATGTGGCGCGGCCATACAACGGAGTATTATCCATCAATAAAAAGGAACACAGTACTGATACGTGCTCGGACACGTACCTATTAAATACACTCTGCTACGTGAAAGAAGCCAGTCACAAAAGGCCACATGATGTATGATTCCATTTACATGAAATTTCCACCATACGCAACTCCATAAAGACAGAAAGTAGACCAATGGTTGCCAGGGGCTCGGAAAAGACAGGGAATGGTGAGTACTACTAAAAGGTATGGCTTTTCTTTTCGGGATGATGAAAATCTTAAGTTAGATGATGGTTATGATTACACAACTGTGAATATACTAAAAACCACTGAATCATAGACTTTAAATGTGTGAGTTTTATGGTGTGTGAACTGTATTTCAATAAAAGCTGTTTTTAAAAGTTCACGGTATTCAGATCATGAGCAAACCCACTGTCATACAGAATAAATGTTCTCCAGGTAATCTGGAAAGAAAATAAATACATAAAATACCTTATAAGAATGCATATATTTTTCTTTATAGGTTATATTTAACATAAAAATCATCTGTGCAAAAAAGAGTGACCACAAGAATGTCCTAGGCTAGAAAGGTGTAACAGGACTGTCACGAACATGGCAGGGTTTAAAATAAGTAAATGCGTAAAATGCAGATTTTAAAATAAACTCCATCAAAGGCTCCTCAGTGGTCCCCACACCTTTTGCCTTCATCGCTGACCTTCAATTACCTTTCCAGACTCATCTCTCATTACTCCTCAACACAAATGTGCAGCTGGGCCAGACTTTCCACTGCCCACCCTCCCACCACACGCCGAATACCATGCTCACTGCCCCTCATCCCTCTGCCATCTGCCTTAGTTCTTGACCAAATGCTTCTTCATCCTTGAGGTCCTGTCCCATCCTGTCCCATTTCCTCACTCTCTCCAGACCATACCAATCCCATATCCACTGGCCTCTGGCAGCTCCAACTATTCACACCCCTAAAGGGACCCCTCACCACTTTTCACCACCCTCGTGCAGCTAATGCACGCTCACAGTAATTAAAAAAAAAAAAAAAAAAAGAGTCACCTACACTTTGCCTTTTCCAGCTCTGATTCATTGATTCATCCACTTCACCTGACAGTTCCCTCACTTGCGGGAGATGATGAATCAGCTTCCACCCAGAGCCCCAGAGCAAACGGCACTCTGGCCAATGACAGAGCGCCACCTAGCTGCAACGCAGGGTAACGCAACGCCAGTAGGAAGACACCCACAGGACTTACAGAAATGTGCTGGCGGTGAAATTCAGAAACCAGCCCAGCATCACTCTGCAGGCAGGGCCATGCCACTGTTTGGAGGTGCCTCCTACCACCTGCCCAGTGGTACCTCACACACCTCACAGCTACCCTCTGTTCTCAGCTCGGTGCCAGGCATGCAGGACTCATTTAGCATTTACCCAAACTCAAATTCTGAAGTACAGTACTTGTGCAGATGTTAAAAATTCCTGTGATAATCACAGGAGACCATTTTTGAGTTTTCTCATAACAAGTAAAAAGCATAGATGAGTACGAAATGACAAGAAATCTCGCGATTTACTCACATATAATGGAGCTTGCTGTGGATTAAGTTTCATGACCCAGGACACTGAAACAGAAAAGGGAGAAATAAATGAGAACAAAATTAAAAGCTATCGCCAAAAAACAGAAAAGCCACAAATGCTAGATGTCGAGTATGGTTATATGAACACAATCAAAATCTGAGATTACTGGATGCCTGGCTTTCCTGAGATGTTTGGGAAGGCCAGAAGGTCAAGGACCGCGAAACTTCTTGCAGCCCTTCTGTTCAAGCTTTTCAACTGGGGAGAGCCTTTCTGATTGAAACACACACACAAAAGGGTCCACTGTCCTCGGAGAATTTTCAACAACCAACAGGATATTAAACGCAGTTACCAAAGCAAAAACAGTGTATGTTCAGTTATACTTTTACATAATCCCCCAAATTCACAAAGTGCTGCTTGGCCAGAGCCTCCTCCAGCCTCACGGGGGGCGGGGGGGGCCCTCAGGGGACCAGAGCGCTCTCTTCCTCTCAGCCCTCCGAGAAGGGAGACTATGGCAGCTGGGGTCCACCAACTAACCGTTGTAATCCTCCTCAAGATTAATAAGCCAGGCTCCCGACTGTTATCTTGTGAATTCTCACAAAAATCTTAGGAAGAACGTCAGAGAAGATTCACAGGATTGTCTAACAGATTCCCGAATATCAAGAACAGCACGCTCTCAAAGGTTTAACTTGGTGATTTGACCAGGAGCTCCAAGCTAAAACATCATGGTCCAGAATCGTGGACTTCAGGATGGCAGGCCCTTTGCCAAACACCCCGAATTTGAGTATAAGCTGATCCTGTCCTCACAGGAGTCAGAGAAGCAGATCTAAGGGACTTGATTATAATTTGATCTAAGGAAGTTTTTTACTAATAGGTCAAATGAATTAAGGCACACAGTAACCAACCAGTAATATAAACAACAGTACACAAACGTCATTCGCACATGCAAAAAAACAGATGAAATCACATTCTTTGTGTTCTCCCAGATTACAAAAACCTCAGGAACAGTGAACTGAAATCCAAATAGCACAAACAGCAGCGTTTCAATGCCTGAATATTTAGAATAAAGAGCAGCAAATGCCTTCGCAACCATGTGTAACCTAAGGAACAGAATCCTCCCAATACTGAAATCCTCCTAGACCTGCCACTTTGGTCAGGCCGTGTATGTGTATGTCCAAGGTCAAGGCTCACCCAAAACGCAGTTAACACACACTTAGGGGGAAAAAACCAAAAACCAAAACTATAATCAGGCTCCTAAACCCAGTCATCTCCAAACCACTCGCAGGCCACACGCTTTTCAGCGTGTTTCGCCAACAGCCCGAGAGCTCCGCCACCCTGACCGACCACCTCCACGTGCACCTGTTCATTCTCTGGTCCACTCCCCACGCTGCAGGACACCTCCTGGCTCCTGGCACTCTTTTCTTCCTGCCTGTCTTCATTTAATGATTTTGTACCCTTAGGTGCTAAAATCACCGCAAAAATCCACAGTGAAAATCAAGCTTGAGAAATGCGGTAATAACGAACTCTTTTGATAGAAAAAGAAGAGATTTCAAGCCCATCAAATGCAAATAAGGAAGCATGGATGGAAAAGAAAGACCGAAGCGCTTGAGTACTTTTTTCAATGCGTTAAATATCCATTTAATTTAAAATTAAACTCACTGCGCTCACTAGCCTTTTAATCCGCTTTCCCGGTCTTGTCCAAACTTGCCCGGGACAAAGGACTGAAAGAGCCTGTAACTTTATAAACCAATTCGCCTTCACTAACTTCTGAAGTTGAAGTGTTGCTCCTCTCAAGAAGTATCTGTGGGTACGGTTTTCAGTGATAAGTTCCATGGAGAAAAATGAAAGAGAAGAGGAAACAGGAAATGTTTTACATATGGTACTAAGGGAAGGCCTCTCTGAGGTGACGTTTATCCCCCAAAATCAAAGAGAATAAGGAAGGTGGAAAGGGTTCCAGACTCCCAAAACGGCCCCAAAACACAGAACTCGAGAGTTCTGATGCTAAGCCATCACTAGACTTGCTACATACAGCACACAACTTACTTCACCTGTTTAAGTAAGCGCACTTTACTTGAGAACTGTGTTCTAAGGGAAGAAGCATATTGCTGGAGGGGGGTCTCTGAGTCAGAGTAAACACACTTGAAAACGAAATTTATTCTCTAAGACCCAACTGAAAGTCTTCGCTTTGTCCATGGATTTTTGATGCCTTCCCAAAAGGAAAATGAAAGAAATGCACTGTGTCCCTGAATGATTTCATGAAGGAATTTTAAGAGAGAAAAACCCTACAATTTCCTCCCTACCCAGGAACTGGCGAATGACTTTGACCAAGTCCACATTTACATGGGGTGCTTTCATGTAACACAAGGACAATGCGTGACAGATCCGGTGGGACCGTAAAGGCCGCACCCCATTTGAAAGACGGTGAAATGGAAATATCAAAATTCAAACACTTAAATGATGCGATTTCAAGTATGTTCACCAAATCTGCCATTCAGCAGTAGCCAGCTAGAATTCTGACGAGTCATAAATCTGCAGGGTGAGGAATAAAAACAAGCTCAGTAATTAAGTGTTTTCATTCTTATTTTCATATTTTCATTCTTCTCGCACTTGCCATTTTATTGCAAAATGCTGAAAGAAAACAAATGAAATAGTTTACTGTTGTACGAAAGTAACACATTCATTTTATGTCAAAGCAGGACCCCTCCACCCCGAAAGCAACGGTCTCACTGATGTCACTCCAGTTCTCTGCAATTCTCTGGCAGCTCGCGGGGTGCTGCTCAACAGACAAGCAGACCCGGGGTGAGCCTTCTTCCTGCCCTTGAGAACAAACGCTCATCAGCTAGCTTCTCCCTCACAGGGTGCCGGGTGCACACCACCATCAGCACAGATCAGTCTGGGACATGCAGTGCTGACACAGGTTCTGGCGAGAGTTCCGGATCCGTCTGCAGGTCCCGCTACCTGCAAAGGATTGTGCAGAAACTCAGTTGCTCCTAAGGATCACAGGGAAGCTCGGGCACGAAGGGATACAGGCGTTTGGTTGGTTCGGGGCGGGGTGGGTAAGGGACAGTGAGCACTTCCACCGACCTGTGTGCTTGAGCGAATGAATGCAAAACCACAGAAGTTACCAAAACACGACATGTCTTCATAATAACCAGTGTCCATGGCAGGCGCTGGCAAACATCTTCTGAAAAGGGGTAGATGGCAAATATTTGGGGCTTTGCAGGTCATACGCTCTCTGGCGCAATGTGTAAATGAGTGGGTACGGCCATGTTCCAATAAAATTCTTTTTACAAAAGGAGGCAGTGGACTAGATTCAGCCACTGTGCCCGCGTGCCCACTCCTGACCGAGAGCTAACAAAATACCTCTAAGTAAGCCAAAGAGCAGGGTGTCCCCGTTCAACAGCTCTGTAGGTCTCGAAGATATTTCCAGTTAGAAAAGACTTCTCAGCACAGGAAAGTCCTAGCGTTCTATACAATATCCTTTAGCCCAGCAATCAAATTTCATGGGCGCGCATCCCAAGTTCCCTAGTGATTAACTGTATGACCTTGAGCAAGTAAGTCAGCGGACTGTCTACCCGCAGTCTTTTTAAGTGAAGTAAGAGCGTAAAAATTCCCGTCTACACTATGGAGCCAGTGGAAGAATTAAAAGGGAATCCAAGGAAGGGCTTCAGCACGCTGCCAGACACAAATCTTCCTTGCAGTTTCCAGGTCTCATGGAGACTAGCAAGGAAAGTACTTGGAAAAGGGTAAGTAGTCAAAATAGAAGACATCAGGTATCAAGAGATACATCTGTCCAGAAACAGGCTGGTAGTTGAATCACAATTCTAAAATAAAATAACTCTAGAAAAAAGAATCTGGAAGAACAAATAACAAAATGCTAAGTATACACATTTCTGAGAATTACAGGGAATTTTCATTCTTAAATTATCTGTTTCTTACTCCTAACTATTCAGACAATGAACAGATACTACTTTTGTCATCAGGAAGAAGACATTAAACACAGTACATCTGTTTTAAGTCCCCTGTCATTCAACGCGCCACAAGTGAACTGGAAATAAAAAGACATTTTTCTAAAATGTGCAAACTGAAGAAATTGACAACCTTTACTAAAGCTCCCTAGAAATGATAAAAGAAAAGCAATTAAAATAAGAATGCCTGTACCCATATGTATGTAAATACAAATCAGTCTTACTATTCTATAGCCGTACCCCTTTAAGAGGTGCTCAGCTCTTAATGAAACATCCCTGGAGGGAGGGAGGGAGGACCACAAGCCCAACATTGCATCAATTACACGGAGACCTGAAAACTCCCCGAAATCTGTTAGCTTCTTGACCTCAAGCCATGTCCTAAGTAAGGCCCAGCTGGCCAGGTCTGCTGAACCTATCACTTCAACGGACATGGTTTTTGTCATTCACAACAGGGAAGCTTCCAAATTCAGAAGGAAAGAAGTGCAAACCACCTTCACAACCAACCCCAGTCGTGAAAGGAAGAGAGGACAGCTGCTCGGGACTCAGCCAGGGTTAAACAGAGGATCTGTACCTGCAGGGTACGGGCACTGCTGAATATGCTTCAGCTCAATCTCCATGGCCAAGGGACCCTGCTAAAGCTGGGCTACCGCAAATCCTCTGAAACCCACAAAAATTGGGGGTGAGGGTTAACATGGAAATGACAAGGCATACTCTGGATTCCTGTGAAACAGCATCCTGCTCTTCAAGGAAAATAACAGGATCCAAAGACTTTCCTTCATTCCTAAGGAGTCTGGGCTGGTGGCTAGAAACATGTGCTCTCACTGGGGGTGGGAGCAGGGAATTCTGAACAGCAGCAAAGAAGCAGGGTACAAAGAGTGAATAGGCGTTTCCTGCTGCAGATGCCAAGTTCTACAAAATATGTGTATATAAACTACTACAGGTACCAAATGTGTTTCCTGAATAAGGGGCTGAGGAAATCTTACAGGAGCCTAATCGTCTTCTTCTGTTTAAAGTTGCATTACTTAATAATTGAGCAGTTAGCTTTAAACACGGATTCTCAAACTTCAGGAACCCCGAGC